CACTTGCTCCGATCTGCCCCAAACTCGACATGCCGGATCACAGTTCTGCCCGGAGCAGGTTTGCCCCACACCCCGCCGTGCGCACAGGCCGACAAGCGTAGGGCGAGGACCCGTCCATCGCCGCTTGCGGCTTTAATTGGAGAATGTATTTTATAACAATATATTTTGTGTAGACGGTTTTAACAGATATTCCAAAGGTGCCAAACACATATAACTGTCCACTGTTGTGGATGCTGTGCATGGACGGGCTAGGCTGCCACAGACATACAGTTGAATAGTTGTTTTTACTTGTGATCTCCAGTTTTCAACTTAACAATAAGGCTTAAGCAGCCAAAATCTTGTACTTTTTTCTATCCTGAGGCACAGTGCCTTAGTTACCTCTCAGTGAATTCAAATGATATTAATCCATATTGCATCTGCAGCAGTGACCCTTAACCTTTTTACAAGTACCATTTTGGAGATGGACACCCCCTAAAAGGCAAAGTTCAGGAGTCCATCATACAATAATTGATTTAAAGCTATCAATATAATGTTTTAAGTAACAGCTAAATGAAATGTAGAGTTTTAAATTCACTCTGTGGGATGGTTGAGCTTGCATGAAGGTGGTGAGATGTTCCCACTGAGGCTGACAGAAGTAAAATGATGCAAATGGGAGACTGTTTTTCCAAAATATATTCAAAATTCAGTGGTACAGATGCCACATTTATCCATTGCTCTCTTGTGCAGTCAGGAGGAGTTGTTTTCAGGAGCCAGAGTCGTGCCATCATGTATTATTCCATTCTTCAATCAGAATTTATTTTTTGCAATCCTCTCACAACGATGAAGAATGATTGTTGTATTAAAAAAAAACAAAAAAAAACTACACACACATCTATCAATGCTAACCTCGTGCATGCAAATCACTAAAGAGCACTCAACTGTTTTTCCACCATCTCTCTCGGGAGGAGTAATTTCTGTGTTGTCCGGATGCTCGGGTCAACAGTCTTACTTCCCTGCAAAAGGCTTTACACCTGTTATAAATCCTCACATCAAGATGATCATGAGGAGAGGGAGGGCTGTGCGTGTTAGTCAAGATACCATGTTCAATCTTTAGCCTGTTGTAGGAGATTTTTAACCAAGAGAAACATGTTTCTTTTGGAAGTTAACTGACACGAGGCTGTGATATTAAGACATGTGGAATTTAACGGGATTTGTCTTTGGTAAGTAGAACTTCTGAACGCTGTCTTAATGTGCTCTAGCGTGAGGCTTGGAGAAGCATCTTTGAGGTGAATTACGTTTGAACAAGCTGATGTAACTGCATTACTCATCTTCATTCAGTTACCTGTATGTGTTAAATATTGAGAACAGCTGCATCCATGTCTTTGCTTCCCTGCCTCCTCACTCCCTCAGCCCTCTCCCTGCTGCTTCTCTGTGTAGTGGAAAGGCTGATGGGAGTGGAGGGGCTTCAGGCGACAGTGTGCTCCCGGTGGGGTGCACCGGGCAACAAGAGCCTCTTCCAGGATGGAGATGTGGTTATCGGCGGGCTTTTTAGTGTGCATTACATACCTTCAGCTGTAGAGCAAGACTTCACCAAGCTGCCTCAATATGAACCTTGTAATGGGTAAAATTCAATCACAAAATGTGTATATATATATATATATATATATATATATATTCTTTTACTACATTTCCTGTAGTTATCATATAACATCATGATATCATATTCTGACTTTCACTGACCTAAGCTTTTACATGTTATTTCATTCACTCTGCCATTCTCCTCCTGCAGTTTAGATCAACAGTCTTTAAAATATATGTATGCTATGGCCTTTGCGGTGGAGGAAATCAATCGTAACAGCAGCCTCCTACCGGGACTGAAGTTGGGCTACCGCATACTAGATAGCTGTGGCCGATACCCCTGGGCTCTGCAGACAGCACTGTCACTGGTCGGAGGAGACGCACACAGATGCAGCACAGCAGCCTCTCCGCTTCATTCTGCAGCTTACGAACAAGCTTTAGAGAAAGCAGGTTGGGCTTGATATAATTTAGCATGCGGCTGGCATTTGTTATGTCCGGGAAAACAACAACAACAACCACTGATGTGATTTGTCTAATCCTCAGATGGTCAGACTGCTCCTTTGCTCATTGGTGCTGCTTCATCTACATCAGGCATAATGCTGTCCAGGATCCTGAGGTCTCTCTCTGTACCAATTGTAAGCTTCATGACTTTGGGAAACAAAAATCTAATTTTTCATACAGTCTTCAGGCTGCTCTGACTTTTAAAGCATTATAGGTAAATGAAAAATGATATTGCTGATGTGAAATTTATGTCAAAATAATGCTTGTTTCTTGTCCTTAGATCAGCTTCTTGGCTAGTTGCCCCTGTCTTAGTGACAGATCCAAGTTTCCGAACTTCTTCAGAACAATCCCCAGTGATATTTATCAAGCTCGAGCCATGGCACAACTAGCTATACGCCTTCACTGGACGTGGATTGGAGCTGTGCATGTAAACAATGATTATGGTCAACTTGCGATACAGGTGTATGTTTTGTTATTGTACTGTGAATTCTCTGGTGATGCTTCGTACAAATAACATAAAGATGTGAACCTATTTGCTTCTTGTTTCAGGTATTCCAGGAAGAGATTCAAGGGAAAGGGGTATGCTTGGAATTTATAGAGCCTGTTCACAGGGAAACTATTGTGAGAGATGCCGAACGTGCAGCACTCACCATCCAAGCTGCGACTGCAAGAGTGATTCTGGTCTTTACTTGGTATACAGATGCAAAGAAAGTATTTCTGGAACTGGCCAAGAGAAATGTAAGCCACATGCATTTGAAACTTACATTTCATACATTTTCTAAAAAAACAGATAGCAGTTGTTTTTCTTGTCGTACGTTTTCTTAATTTCCTCTCACTGCAGGTGACTGGTAGACAGTTTCTGGCCAGCGAGGCTTGGAGCACAAGTGATGATCTTCTCCAGGATGCTGCCGTCTCTAAGGTGGCTAGAGGTGTTCTAGGTGTGGCCATACGAAGTTCAACAATGCCTGGATTTGAAAATTATCTCAGACGTTTGCACCCAGTTCATCGTCCTGATGATGAATTCTTGAGAGAATTCTGGGAGAAAGAGTTTGGGTGCAGCCAGGTGGACAAATTTTCATATTCGCCTTCATCACTCAGAGCAGACCGTTCGTCAGACGTTTTCACCTCAAGCCTTCAAAAAGCTTCTCTACCTCCGTGCAGCGGGAAAGAATCCTTAGAGGGAGTGCAGCATCCCTTTGTAGACACTTCTCAGCTAAGAGTTGCATATAATGTGTACCTTGCTGTTTATGCTGCAGCTCACGCCCTACACAGCCTCCTCTCCTGCCCCAACAGAGACCCTCCTCCTGGAAACAACATCTCCACTTGCGTCTCTCCAAAGCACATTAAACCCATAGAGGTAAACATAATTATCAGTGAGTCATCTACTCGACAAGTGTGATAGTTCTTCATGTTTTAATTAGTTGAATGTTAACAGATTTCTTTAAAAAATTACTTGACAGTTTCTTTAACATCTTGCGATTTCAGCTGTTGCAGCACTTAAACAAAGTGAACGTCACCACCCCGCACGGAGAAATGTTTTATTTCCAAGGAGCTGACTTTCCAGCAAAGTACGACCTTGTCAACTGGCAGAAAACCCCTGAAGGGCTCCTAAAACTGGTTTTGATTGGCCGTGTGGATGGGTTTGATCTACACCTTAATGAGTCAGCTATTCAGTGGAGCACAGGATCCAATCAGGTAGTCAGATCAAGTCTCAATGCTGCAAACAACTTTGCTGCAGAAAATAGTGGCAGTTCAGGAGGTTGTCATGTTGCATGTGACTTTTTGTCCAGGTGCCTGTTTCGGTGTGCAGTGAAAGATGCCCCCCAGGTACTCGGACAGCAAACAGGAAAGGGGAACCTGTCTGCTGTTTTGACTGCATCCCCTGTGCTGATGGGGAGATCAGCAATATGACTGGTTAGTCAATGTGAGTGTTATCTATCTGAGTATACCATGGAACATGTATCAGTCTGCTCCTCCTTTCCCCTCACTCTAGGCTCTCTTCACTGTGAACGATGTCCGTCTGAGTTCTGGTCCAATGTCGATAGAACTGCCTGCATCCCTCGCCAGCTGGACTTCCTTTCCTTTAATGAAACTTTGGGTATTACTTTAACTACAGCAGCTGTGTCTGGTGCCGTAGTAACAACAGCTGTGTTTGTGGTTTTTCTTCACCACCGTCAAACACCTTTGGTGAGAATCCAGCATTAGAATATAAACAGAGTGTTGGAGGTTTGCTTTCTTTCGTTCATGTTTCTCTTTGTCACTGTTTTGCCACTAAAAGGTACGAGCCAACAACTCGGAGCTGAGCTTCCTGCTTCTTCTGTCACTCAAGCTCTGCTTCCTGTGCTCACTGGTGTTCATTGGTCGTCCGTCAGTCTGGTCTTGTCGGTTCCAGCAGGCTGCATTTGGGATCAGCTTTGTACTCTGTGTTTCCTGCCTCCTGGTGAAAACCATAGTGGTTCTGGCTGTGTTCCGCTCAGCTCGGCCCGGAGCCGAAGCTTTGATGAAGTGGTTTGGTCCTGGCCAACAGAGAGGAAGTATCTGCTTCTTCACATGCATACAGGTAGGCATACTATTCACCAGTATTCCATTTTGCAACCCGACTGATACAACAAAAACACACTGGAAAAGTGTGAACATTTTATTATTCATATATATGAGCATCACCTGAAATTGAACAATACTTTGCTTTTCATGCAGGTTATCATCTGTGCCATATGGCTGTCCCTCAGCCCCCCGATGCCTCAACGTGATCTGGGTTTTAAAGGGTCAAAGGTCACTGTGGAGTGCGCCATGGAATCTGTGGTCGGGTTCTCTCTGGTTCTGGGCTACATCGGCCTGCTGGCCTGCACCTGCCTCCTCTTGGCCTTTCTTGCTCGGAAACTCCCTGACAATTTCAATGAAGCTAAACTGATCACCTTCAGCATGCTGATTTTCTGTGCCGTTTGGGTGGCCTTTGTGCCCGCTTATGTCAGTTCTCCTGGGAAGTATGTTGTCGCTGTGGAAATATTTGCAATTCTTGCCTCTAGCTACGGTTTACTACTCTGTATTTTTGCCCCAAAATGTTTCATTATTCTTTTAAGACCTGAGAAAAACACTAAGAAATACCTGATGGCAAGATAGTTTTCCAGTCTCAAATTTGAGCATGTGATCATATCTGTGTGGTCTAGAAGATGCCTCTCCAACTCCACTGTGTAACCTCTTGGGAAATATTATACAAGACCTAAGATGCCCAATCAAGCATCATGCATATGTTTTATTATTTATTTTCATTTGAAAAATGCAAATAATTAATTTGCCTGTCAAAGTTACAGCTTTTGTAAATGACAGATTAAGAAAATTTCTTAAAGTTTCTGCTGTTCTTAGACTCAACACCTGAAGAAAACCTGTAATTTGAATGCAATGCTGCTCATAAATTGTACTTTGTATTATTGTGGTTTATTCCTTCCTTTCTTGTTTTATTTTGATTAAATACTGTACCGCAGCTTAATAGAAATGTACTAGTTTCTTGAAACATATGTAGATTTTTCTCTACGTAAGGCTTTGTGAATAAATCCAAAGTAAATATTAAAGGTGTATTACACTTATTTTTATTGTCTTGTGTTCTGAATTTACAGTTTGTAGCTTAAACGACAGTAACTGCTAATAAAAACAAAACTTTGGCTTCAGAATGACTCATCGCAGTAATTCATTCACTCATTAGCAGGAGCTGAACACCATCTCAGCTGACACTAAGTGAGAACCTTGCATAGGTCACCAGTGAGTCACCGCCAGTCATTCATGCTCAAAATGCAGTTATATGTTAAATACAATGAAGCAATAGTGCTAATCACGTTAACATACAATATCAAATATAACATTCAATAAATAAGTGGACATCAGATACACTAATCACTTCAAAGATGTAGTGATATGATGATCTAAGGGGCTCACGACACGGATAGCTTTATTTTTTCTTAAAGTGCATGTACCAAGTGATGGCCAGCAGATGGAAATGTTACACCATGTAATGATGCTCTGGCGCTTCCCTCTGCTTCTGTCAACCAGTTTGCACGTCCATCTGCAATTAGCTTCTGCGGCTATTCAACATCTCCCTCTTCCCATGCTATTAATATAAGTATTTGCTTTCAATGTAATATACAGTAACTTCCAACTGCATGGTTCAAATGCAAATTACTAATGAACTGTTTCGCAAGTTTAAATAGTTGTGTAATCATGTTTGAATGAATACATCATACTAACACTATTGTTTTTGATATATTTATTTTACACAGATACCAATAATGCTAAATGCTTTGCACCCTTGTTCTAGACTAGAAATGTAATCACAAGAGTTTCCTTTAAGTTGTATTTACACATACTGTTCTAACATCTGCACTCTTTTTGCTGCAATGTAATGCCATGTTGCAGTGGCTCCACTGGCACCTGATCTGTCTCTCATCGACAGTACGCCACTTGTGTATTTGTGTCACTGACAGGTCGTTTCCCAGGGATCATTTTAAACTGACACTTTTATATGCAAAGTGTAACACACAGTAAGGGTGTGAATCACTGGGGTTATTTTTGGAGACTTTTTGCAGACAGTTCTTGCAGAAAAATAACTTTTATTCAAATACAAGAATGGAAACTAATTACCCATGCTACTAAACTCACAACTATGCCACACCTATTTCCATCAGAGACACAGATGGCTGTAAGGAAGACGTGTTGGCCTACTTCACTTGTGCATAGCTGTGTTCTTGAGTAAAGTCTTTCTGCACAGTCATGTGGTCCATTCTTGAGTGGTTTTGCAATGAGAAAATAAATCTGCATGTACGTTTTATTTGAATTTGCTGTCATAAATCCAACATCTGTGGATAGTAGCTGTTGTTACAAAGATGAGGAGTCTACTTCCATTTTGACTAATGTCAAAAAATATGGACAGCATTCTGTTCAATGATGATAATATGTTAGCAAAGACTAAAAACTCCTATCAGCTGGGGCTGCTGCTGCACTTTCACATCCTTTTACTTCCATCATGGATGGAAGTAGAACGTTAATGTAATTTTCCCCCACAGCCTGTGCCATGTTCAATCTTGTGTCTTGTGATTTAAGTCTGAATAACGTTCACTTAGGCTGCTTCCTCCTGCAGCCGGGATGATTGCTGACAGAGTCTAATCTTGGCATCAGTGCTGTCATAGTTAATGGAACTCCTCTCAGTTTGCAACAGTAGTGATAACGTCACGGAGCGACGTAGAAGGCAAAGCGTTCTATGTTGCTGACATAAAATGTGATTTATTACACGCTCTGTTCATCTTCTTATTTTAACCTTTTTTTCCACTCATGTTGCCCTGTTGTTATGCAGATACAGGGTCAGTATGTGTTTTGTAATGTATTGCAATATCTATAAATTCTGTATTTCCATTTGTGAAATAACCATGCTTTCCATCCATCCATTATCTATACACCGCTTAGGGGTCGTGGGGGGGCTGGAGTCTATCCCAGCTGACTTAGGGCGAAGGCAGGGGACACCCTGGACAGGTCACCAGTCTATCACAGGGCTACACTTAGAGACAGACAACCAAGCACACTCACATTCACACCTACGGACAATTTAGAATCACCAATTAACGTCAACATGTTTTTGGACTGTGTGGGAGGAATCCAGAGAACCTACATCTTAATGTACACATAAACAAGCAGCTGAGACACAAACCGCAGTGTTCACATGTTTGCCAGCAGGTGGAGGATTTAAAAGTGCATCTACCAGTCTGAGCAGGGTTGATAAAAAAAATACCTTGTGCAAAAACAGTTTGTTAAACCATCTAACCATAATTGGTGAAGCTTATGTTGCATGTATGCACGGTCAGGAGAGGATTGGTTGTAGACCACTGCCACAGACCTGATGCTTCCCTCCAACTCTGTCTTTCAGAGGCTAATGGATGCCAAGCAAGCCCGATATCTATGGCAATCCAGGACCGATGGTAAATGCAGGTTGTCAGCTGGCAGAAAAGGCGGGAAAGGAGGAGTGAGACCTAGTCGCTGAGAAGCAGCAGGTTTTTCACTTCCAGCTAAGTTGGAAGGGCAGATGGTGACAACTCACGGCACCGTGGCCTCAGTGAGGTGCCACATCTGGCTGTCTCAGTCAGAGGTGTCTGCCTTGGCTGTCGTTGCTGCCATCTGCTGTGTTTGGATCCAATGCAAATAAGATGCATCAGCAGGCTGAAAATATCTTCGGTTGTGCTCTTGAAATGTGAGGGATGCCAGATAGCCTCAGATCACCCGACATTCAGGTCAGTAGTTGACCTGGGACAACCTCTGTACAAACTGCTGGGTGGTTTCCACCACCACTATGGGTTATTATCTCTAGTTTCTTCGCCAACCAGCATCAATGAGATTTATCAAATTTGCAGTGTTAGCAGACCCCTGCACAGGGAGGTTCTGGTTGCAGACTTTTCCACTCTTCAGGCGACTGAGCAGCTCGGGCAGAACAATCATTAGGCTGAGTTTAATTTATGTTACTTCCCAATTCCCCTAAAGGACGGAAAGCTGGCACTAACTTTGTAATTAGTTTCCTTTGGTCCTTTTGTAGGGGGACCAAAGGGGGGAAAAACAACAACAACTTGTTCCTTAGACTCCTGCAAATGCAACATTTTGACCACGCCATCTTTTACACTGTAAAAAAGATAGACTCAGTAACATCAAGGCAACAGATTACAAGCAATACTATTCATTAAATAGAGCTATGTTTGGAATTAAGCACATGTGCACTTTAATATACATAAATTCAAATAGAGAACTAAAATGAATTTATTGCGATTAAAACAAGAATTTAGAAAAAAACATCAAAATGCGTAAATATTACTGATAAAAGTTCTATTATTCTACATGTCAAGCATATATTTAGGCTATAATCTTTAAAATTAATCCGTGCATTGATTTGAATTTCTTCAATGCAGTCAGTCATCACTCCATACATGCATTTGCTTTACTCAGTTTATCATGTGGAGGCTCTCAGGCAGAGCACACCCTGGATACGTTGACGGTATTGACAGTGCCACCAAGTCAACTAAATCAACTAATGAAGAAATTTGAGTATACATTGTACACAATATTGAGTTGATGTAATTATCAACATTTATTGTGTCAATGCAACCCATCAAAATAAAATCTTCAACTTAAAGGTTTATCTAAATCAGTAAATTATATATTTTTTGTTTTGTTTTTATCTTGCAACCATTTAATTAAGTGGTTGGAATAGATCCTTTGAATTACTTTGTAGAGTGTATGCTGGGACGTTCTTTCCGAGGCCCAGAGCTCTAAGAAAGCATCCTTTGCCTGGTTGGGAGCAAAATTAATATGCTAACTAGTTTTTGATATTAACAATTTTTCTGCAGAGTCACAGATCTTAACTTGAAGCTAAAAAATAATGAGAGAGCTGTACTTTTCTTTTCTTTTTTTTTTACTCTTCCCAAGGATGTTGAGCCAGGGGTCAGGAGTCACTTTTATGTCTTTTATGTCCAGCAACACAAGAAGTCACACATGTGGATACAAGAACACGGGAAAGTTCTGTAAAGAGATGTTGATATTGACTACATATCTCAAAATTTTAAAAAATCAAGGTTAAATGAAACAAAATATATTCCTTCAGGGCTAGATACCACAAGAGTAAAGCGATTTTAGATATCCTTTGTTGTTCTTGTACAGCCTCTGCACTATTTGTGTCTATATGAGATGTTCTCTGAGTCGAGTTCATGGTGTGAATAATACTGTAATAAATAAATAAAATGACAAAAGTCTTGATAATGGACCTTACAAAACCAACAGTGTGTTTCAGGCGCTAATAGGAGGCTTGGTGGGTGAAAGCTTTTGCTATGTTTTTTGTGAGTCTTCTAATCCCGATCAACTAAAAGTTACAAATAGAAAACCTAGTGGGATATCTGTGGCCGCGGTACCCTCCAGGTACATATTGTTGTTACTGTATCACACACACCAGTCTCCCTCATTATTTTTCTGCCCTCACCTTAGTGAGAAATGGTTTAGTGCTGTGTCATCTTGTTTACTTTAATTCCACCCTGGGCTTCACAGCTATTATAAATTCCCAGAACAACATGTTGTGCAGAGCAGGAGGGGGGTGTATGTCATAGTTTAGATGTCTCACAGTCAACAGTGCTAGCTGTACCTATTGTAATATGCATTGTGTCATTACATTTGCTTTGCAGGTTGATGACTAACATTAATTTTTTCCTGTTGCATAGAGAGAGATTTGACCATTTAACATCAGGAGCTGTTTACGGATTTATGTATGTATGCTGTGCCAATGAGAAGTTATCTAACATGTTGTTCAAAGCGTCCAGAGCAGTTCCATCCATGTCTTGGGTCTCGTGGCTCTTCACTTTGTGGTCCTGCTCTGCTCCATCTGTCCTCCTAGTGGGGCTTCTGGGCAGACAGCTGGGGCTCCAGGTGGGGCTGCAGGTGGTTGACACTGTGACTTGTTCTCAGTGGGGCGCACCAAGCGATAAAGGTTTATTCGAGGATGGGGATGTAATCATCGGTGGGCTCTTCAATCTTCGTTACAGGCCTCCGGCTATAGACCAAGAATTCACTCAGCAGCCAGACTACAAACCCTGCACTGGGTAAAACTCCTTAAATGTGTTGTTTACTGTCGGTATAGAAAGATACACATCCACAAGCTGCCATGTTTTGTTCAAGTTCACCTGCAATTTCTCTTTTCAATTTTTCTTAAAGATAACTTGCTCACATACGATCACAAAATAAGGTTTTTACAGGTTGTTAAAAATGAACAGCTTCACATTCACTTGATATTTCTCTCATTCCCTCTCTCCTGTTAGTTTGCAAAATCTTCCACTACAGTACATCTATGCTATGGTGTTTGCACTGGAGGAAATCAATCATAGTACAACCTTGCTACCAGGTGTAAAGCTGGGATACCATATTCGTGATAGCTGCGCCCTCCCTCCTTGGGCTATACAGGCAACGCTGTCACTGGTTGGAGGAGACAGCAGCAGCTGCAATACAGCAGCAGCGCCTTCAGAATATGGAAAGGAAATCAGAAAAAGGAGAGGTATTAAATCTAAGTTTGCATTAAAGTGATGTGATATTGTCCTTCTTTATTCACATAAAGCAAATAAAGTTGTTTTAATCCTACAATATTGTCTATAAGACAGTATCTGACACAATATTCTTTTGAACAAATGACTTTATTTTTACCATATTTTGTTATTTCACAGGTGATCAGCCAATTCCTTTGATCATTGGCGGTGCCTCTTCTATCACAGCCCGGATACTCTCCAGAATCCTGGGGCCACTCTCTGTACCTTTAGTGAGTTCTATTCAAATCGAAAATATGTTGATGGATTCACTTATTCAGTTAAATATAGAAAATAATTAAATCGGCATAACACGTAGTTTTTTTTTTTGTTTTAAAGGCATTCTGATGGACAGTGGAGCATAAATATTGCCTCATTTATGTTTTTCACATCATCTTTTTCAATTCAGAATATTTTCATTGCTGGCAGTAAAACGGATTTATTTACTGTGAACTGTAGCTCCACAGCTGTAGTGTAGGATACACAATTCCTGGGTGAACATGAGATTACAGCAATCTTTGTGTATATGATATTTCAGAATATTTATTGCATTTGTGTATGTTTTTGTCTCTTAGATGAGCTACACGGCCAGCTGCCCATGTCTAAGCGACAGGCGCCAGTTTCCTAACTTCTTCAGAACGATGGCCAGCGATATTTACCAGGCCCGGGCTGTTGCCCAGCTGGCAATACGTTTCAATTGGACATGGATTGGAGCTGTGATAGCAAACAACAATTATGGACACATGGCAGTAAAGGTGGTTTTGACTGTTGTATTTGTTGCAGGAGAAATGTTATAACATTATATTAAAAAAAAAAAAATGCATTTAAGTACGAGGGACACATTTAATCTTTTTGTTGTTTTCCACGGCACATGTCAGGTATTCCAGGAGGAGATTCAGGGAGCAAGCGTGTGTCTGGCATTTGTAGAGACTCTCCAAAGGGAAAATATTGTGAGTGATGCCAGACGAGCAGCTCTCACAATTAAGGCCTCGACAGCAAAAGTGATTTTGATCTTCACCTGGTATACAGATGTGAGAGAGCTGTTTCTGCAACTTGACAAACTAAATGTGAGAAAGTAAAATAACATTGTCTATTGGGTGTCCTGAATGCAATGCAAAACAGAGACACTTCACAGTAAGGCTTTAAAAAAAAAAAAAAAAAATCATATTCAACTTGATTACTGTCCTCTTCATATCACCAGGTGACTGACCGACAGTTTCTGGCCAGTGAGGCTTGGAGCACCAGCGGTGATCTTCTCCAAAATCTTGTTTCAAGCAAAGTGGCAAAGGGAGTTCTTGGTGTTGCAATTAGAAGTTCAGCCGTACCTGGATTTGAACATTTTCTCAGAAATTTGAACCCATCTCATCGTCCCAATGATGAGTTCTTAAGAGAGTTTTGGCAAAAGGAGTTTGGCTGTAGTTCTGGGATTGCACCTCTGTCTTCATTTAGTGTAAACAGGCTGCTTCAAAAGGTTTCTCTTCCGCCCTGTAATGGCACAGAAACCCTGGACGGTGTGCAGAATCTCTTTACTGACACCTCCCAGCTACGGGTGACATATAATGTGTACCTTGCTGTTTATGCTGCAGCTCACGCCCTACACAGCCTCCTCTCCTGCAGCGTCTCCACCTGCATCTTTCCAAAAAACATCAAACCCATAGAGGTAAACACAATTATGTCTTCTTCAACTCTTCCATGAGATGCATTTTAGACTTTTACAGTCAATGCTTGGGACATTAAGCAGTTGTATCCATCATGTAAAAATTGGACAAGTAACAGAATATTTACTTTTTAAACATTTGAATGCTTTCAGCTTTTGCAGCACCTGAACAAAGTGAACTTCACCACACCACAGGGTGAACTGTTTTATTTCCAAGGGGCTGACATTCCTGCGAAGTACGACCTTGTCAATTGGCAGATAACCTCTGAGGGGACACTCAAACTGGTTATAATTGGCCGTGTGGATGGGTTTGACTTCCACCTTAATGAGTCAGCTATTCAGTGGAGCTCCGGATCCAATCAGGTGGTTAAATAAGGAAGAATTTTGATTTAGGCCAATACCAAATTTTCTGTTGAATTAAATAATTTGTGTGTTTTTTTTTTGTCCAGGTACCTGTTTCAGTGTGCAGTGAAAGATGTCCCCCAGGTACTCGGATGGCAAATAGGAAAGGGGAACCTGTCTGCTGTTTTGACTGCATCCCGTGTGCTGATGGGGAGATCAGCAACACGACTGGTGAGGAAAATATAAATATAAGATTTTAGACTGTCAGAAAGCCTGATTTCATATTATGCTATCATCAGTAGTTTTAGCTTTTTCCCCCCTACTTCCTCCTTGTTTGTGTTTTCTTTAGGTTCTCTTCACTGTGAGCAATGTCCATCTGAGTTCTGGTCCAATGCTGAACGAACTGCCTGCATCCCTCGCCAGCTGGACTTCCTTTCCTTTAATGAAACTCTGGGCATCACCCTCACCGCGGTAGCTGTTTCGGGCGCCACAGTGACAACAGCTGTGTTTGTGGTGTTCCTTCACCACCGTCAAACACCTGTGGTAAGAACCCAGAGTAATGTCAGAGAGACACTTCAGATTTTAGACAAATCCTTTTTGGTTTTTAGCGGTTCAGTCTCTGTATTTTAAAATAAAATAAAATTTTACATAGTTGTTCAAAACAATCAGAATGATTCCACCGGTAACTCAAACCAAATTCTAATTTTCATGTTAAGGTACGAGCCAACAACTCAGAGCTGAGCTTCCTGCTTCTTCTGTCGCTGAAGCTCTGCTTCCTGTGCTCACTGGTGTTCATTGGTCGTCCAGCAGTCTGGTCTTGTCGGTTCCAGCAGGCGGCCTTTGGGATCAGCTTTGTACTCTGTGTTTCCTGCCTCCAAGTCAAGACCATAGTGGTTCTGGCAGCGTTCCGCTCAGCTCGACCCGGTGCTGAAGCCTTGATGAAATGGTTCGGTCCAGCCCAACAGAGAGGAAGTGTCTGCCTCTTTACCTGTGTACAGGTCAGACCTACAGAAGCAATTTTTTAGATGACAAGCTAATTTTTCATTAATATGATTAACATGACATGTACAATTTTTTTTTTTTCATCAAGATCATTGTCTGTATCATTTGGCTGTCACTCAGCCCCCCGGTGCCTCAGCCTGACCTGGATGTCCCGGGGTTAAAGGTCACCCTGAAGTGTGCCATGGCCTCTGTGGTGGGTTTCTCTCTGGTTCTGGGCTACATCGGTCTGCTGGCCTGCACCAGTCTCCTCTTGGCCTTTCTTGCCAGGAAACTCCCGGACAATTTCAACGAGGCCAAACTCATCACTTTCAGCATGCTGATTTTCTGTGCTGTTTGGGTGGCTTTTGTTCCTGCCTATGTTAGTTCTCCCGGAAAATACGCCGTTGCCGTAGAGATTTTTGCCATCCTTGCTTCGAGCTATGGTTTGCTTTTCTGTATCTTTGCTCCAAAGTGTTTTATCATTCTTTTGAGGCCTGAGAAAAACACGAAGAAACACATGATGGCCAGATAGCAAGGAAAATTCAGAATGAATGCTGTGACTTGACTGTAAGTCATTAAGTCAGTTTATTTCCTTATAAGCGTAAGTGCATTCATTTTATAGAAATAATCTTTTCTTTTTAGTTTGCCTAAAATTGGACTTTTCACAAAACTGTATGTGGGCAATGAAATTCTACAATTTCATCTGGTAGCTACTCGTATTTTTGGTGTTTTAATGAATTAAGAAAACAAACAAAAATCTAATACTCATACTAATCGCATTTGAGTATGCTTTACTTCAATATTTACAACAATTACTACTGTACTAAACCTTGCTTAAAACATACAAATAAACAGAAGTAAAACTATTTTCAGTGTTGTGACTATCATCTTTGCAGTGATGCAACTCTTTAGCTTGTGTCACAGGTTGTGCTATGAGCGGTAATTTTGAGAGGACCTGTGATCTCTTTTGAATTACTAATGGGAAAATGACTGGGGTGGTTAGAGCATATTCAATGGAAATTTGTTGTTACATAATGGAGTTAGGGATGCAAGGTGGCTCGGTGGTTAGCATTGTTGCCTTGCAGCAAGAAGGTCGCTGGTTCGCGTTCCGGTGAGGACACCCAGGATCTTTCTGCGTGGAGTTTGCATGTTCTCCCCATGCAGCGTGGGTTCTCTCTGGGTTCTAAGGCTTCCTCCCACAAGTCCAAAAGTTGAGGTGTGAATGTGAGTGTACTTGGTTGTCTGTCTCTCTGTGTATCCCTGCGATAGACTGGTGACCTGTCCAGGGTGTCCCCTGACTTCACCCTAAGTCAGCTGGGATAGGCTCCATTTCTGTCTATCTAAAATTGTGTAGCCGTTTTATTATTATTTTTTTTTATTCAAATCAATTTTGGTTGACGACTGAAGCAATGAATACACATATATGTGAATCTGCACAACTAAACTGTTTATTATTCATCTATATTTATCTGCACATTTTTCATGTCTACTACATTCACAGATTAGTGTAAACTCAAAGTGCAAACATAGCAATCATATTCAACCTTTTAGGACTTTTTGTATTAAACTCTTTGTTGCACAATTTGAACATAACCATGCTCGTCAAGAAGACAAGCAATGCAGTCTTGTCTTCCATCACCGTTCACCAAACGTTCTTGTACTCTCACGTCACTTAACGCATCCTGTGCATCTTCTTCGTGGCTGGTAAACAAACTTTAGGTGCTTTACCGCCACCTACTGGGCTGGAGTGTGTGCATCAGTGTCACCGGTGACGATCAAGCAGCAGATGATGACACAGGAGTCTAATGAGCGGAGGTCTTAGGTGAAAGAACTGACCTCCAAGCTGGAGGATTTAATCAGAGAACGTAATTTATAATAATAATTTATATCCTATATCCACTGTAAATATTCTCGCCCATACTATTTGTAGGTATTGTATTTATTTGACATCAGCTCTCCTCTCGTAATAACATCTAATTGTATAAACCAATTTTTTTGCCTGTACTTTTATATTGCAAAGGAAAAAAAATATTCTGTGTTCTAAAATGAAGGGCAATTGTTATGAACCAATGCCCCGACCCATGATTGCTTTCTTTGTATTCATCTCTGGTCTCAGCAGGATTATGTAACATTTGGGTCCAAACAGGGCCACCAGGAGGCCAAAACTGGAGGCCAGGATGGCAAATACCTCCACTGCATCTGCATGTTTTCCCGGTGAACTGATATAAGCAGGAACAAAGGCCACCCACACAGCACAGAAGATCAGCATGCTGAAAGTGATGAGCTTGGCCTCATTAAAACTGCCTGGAAGACTCCTTGCCATGAATGCAATCAGAAAACTGAGGATGGCCAACAAGCCAATATAGCTCAGTAACGCTACAAAACCAACAGTGGACCCAACTACACACTCGTAAACTATCTTGTCAATGTGGTAGTGAGTGTTTTTATGTGGAGCTGGTGAGGACAACACAAGCCAGGCTGTGCAGATTGCCCCTTGAATAGATGTAAGAACCAGAACTGTCCCTCTCTGCTGCAAAACACCAAAAAACTTGAGACTGGCTTCACCCCCTGGCTTGGAGGCCTTGAACACAGCCAGGACCACCATGGTTTTGACCAGGATACATGAGACACAAAGAACAAAGCTGATCCCAAACGCTGCATGTCTCAGTTGGCATGTCCACAGCCTGGGTCGTCCGATGAACAGCAGCGAACACAGGAAGCACAGTTTAAGTGACAGCAATAGCTGGAAACTCAGTTCTGAATTGTTGGCACGTACTATGGGTGTTTTACGATGATAGATAAAGATTCCTAGAACAGCAGCACAGATAAATGTGCCCAGCAGTGAGGTGGCTGTCAAGCAGATACCCAGAGGCTCATGGTAGGAGAGGAACTCTATTTTCTTTGGAACACAGTGATCACGCTGGGGGCTGGACCAGAAGTCTTCTGGACAACTGGTGCACTCCATTGAGTCTGCAGAGAAACGGGAATATAGTGAGACACATATCATATACAGAATACCTAAAGCTAAAAAAAAAATACTGAAAGATGAACACCCACTTGTATTATTACTGATCTTTCCTTCAGAACAAGGGATGCAGTCAAAACAGCACTCAGGTTTCCCCTTCTCTCGCACCACGCGGGTACCTGGAGGACAACTCTCGCTACACACTGACCGAGGTGGCTAAGGGGAGAAAATCTGTTATTTTACATTGATGAGTGATACTTGGGACAAATGACATGAGTCTGACAAATCGGAGGTTACCTTTTTGGGTTGAAA